AGATAACAAAGCTTGGTAAAAAATAAAGATAGAACAGGTCAGAGAACTGATTTGAACTGTTTTGGATCGGTTTGTTCCTGTAAGTTGGTGTTTGTGGGGTCAGATCTGTGAGCGTTTGGTTGCAGGATGAGTTATTGAGCCACCCTACTTCAGATCCCACCGGGGTGGTGTGGAACTTGTTTTTTAGCGACTTCTTTTCTGTGCCGAAACATTCGGTCGTCTGTCTCCCCGAGAGTCCCCGTCCCCTTCCAGTTTGCCCTTGCTCCAGTAAAAACGTCTTTAACCCCTCCTATTAGCACACTTGGCGCCTTCAGATCTTCCTCTCGTCCTCCCAATTTGTCATTTCATTTCCCAAGATATCTCCTCATTACCTTCTTTTTCAGGCTTCCTCCTCGACACCCTTTTGTCTCCGGTTTGCCCTTGGTCGCCTCGACATGCAGACTGAATTGCCTAAAATGCCGTCAGATAAATGGATGGACGAGATAGATATTTTTGCTGTAAGTCTGATGGTTTTCTTCGCCCTTGATGGAGGAGAAAGTGTGATATGTTCGACGCTGTAAAAACCTGCAGTGAACTCTGCCTCACCCGGGCCGATCCACTCCGGTTACTCCGGTGTCACTTTCACCGGGAGAGTTCTGGTGTCCCATCCGGGTCTGAATTTGGTTTTTAGGAGGATTTGGAATAGGAAGGGGGGGGGAATATCCTGAATGTCACTGCTGGCCTTGAAAAATCATATCAGTAGAAGAAGAAAGAAGGGACAAATGTTTGTTTGTTTTCTCAACTCATCCGCCTCTTCTTACAATTTGCAAATCAGTGTTGTCACGGCTGCAGAGTTATTTATTTTTTTCCGACATAATTACGGAGCGCTACCGCGCTCTGAACAATCCCCTGTACACAAATACTGTACAAGTAATTACAAGGATTCGTGGAGGCGAGCTGAGCCTGACAAAGAAATGGGACGCAGCCAAGCGGCATATGACTCCTACCCCCCCACCTTCGTCAGAAGTTGGCCCGGAGTCCTCGAGGCCGATCCAGTGATGCAGCGAAACATGACAGTGTTGTGTGTGTTTTTGTTTTTTCTTCCTTTCTTTTTCTGGCGCTGCTTTCCTCGCCGTGAAAAACGCTTCGGCCTGCAGCTCCGTCTGCAGCTCTTCTGTTCCGTCGTCCGGTCTGTTTTAGAGTCTCTTGTTTCCTTCCATCTCTCTTTCTGTTGGGCTCTTTTCTGTTTTTACCTCCTACACTCTCTCGGCCTTTTTCCCTTTTCCTGTCGATCGGCGCTCCTTTCTTCTCTTTTTCTTCATCTCCTACTCGCTCATCTCCCTCCACCTCTTCCTATAGATGTGCCCTCCTCTCCTCTCTCCTCCCACACTCTTTTCTTTTTTCCTCTTGTTTTATCTCTCTTTTCCCACCTCACCTCTGGCAGCAGCTGGGTCTCTGGCAAAAGTATTTTTAAGCAAACCGGCATGTACAGAAGTAGAAAACAACAATGGAAATTCACATTATTTGTTGAGATTTGGGTTAGAATTTAAGCTCCAGGCAGCGATTATATTACTATCTACAAATAAAAGTCTAATTTGACTCCTTTAAAGAGCAACTTAACACCAGTTATACGCCTCCACAACTTATTCAGAATCTGTCTCTTCAACCATTACGACTTCAGGCAAGAGTGTAACTCTGGTTCTACGAGTTCGGGCTGACCGCCAGAGACGGTGTGTAAGACCGTGGGTTTAGTACCATCTGTGGAGGAATTAAATAAACCCACAGAGTTAATGTATGTTTTTAATGTCTTGATGGGAGGCGCTACACTTATTGGCTAGTATTTTGAGGGGCTTCAAGTACAAAACGTAATCTGTTTGGTGGTCTGGAGGACAGCACTACTGGATAAAGTGCAGCTGTATTAAAAAAGCTATATTAGAAAAGTGATTCCACTTTTGTTAAAAGTAACTCTAAATTGCTTTGTTTTAGTCTCACTAGCCCCACAATATTAAATTTACAGTCATACAACAACAAAAGTCGGACAGCCTCCTTTTTTCAGCAAATATTTGGCATTTTGACTTCTACTGTAGGGTAAAGTAGAAAAACAATACCTGGGCCAATACAACAACAATAATAAGAGTTAAGTACCAAAACAATAATCTATTTATAGATTGTATTTCATTGAATATAAACCCTTTTTTCCATTTGACAAAGTACCAGTTCTGTGTCAAAGTGACACCCTGATGTGATGTCATCGGGGTCATGTATTCTATCAGAAGGTCTGGTGTTAGAAACAGATGTTAGGAAAAGAAGGCAACAAGATGATATTGAGTTGCATTATGGGAAATGTAGGATTTGGGGTTCATGGAGATTTGACCCATCTAAGGAATACAATCTGTCCCTTGTGGATGTGCAACTAAACCGCCGGACTGATCCTTTAAACGAAGAACTAAAGTCTTAAGTTGGAAAAGTTTTTTCATTCAAATGAGGAAGTAACAAACTGAAGGAAACACTTGATGCCAACTTTCCGTACTTGACAGTTTTCCGTAGCTCGATGCTATGGTCTGGAGGTCTTGAGGTCTGGAGGTCTGGAGGTCCTCTTGTTTCCTGGTAACGACCTGAACTTGGACCTGAGTTGGGTCAAAAACCCAAATCATATGCAGACAAAATCAGGTTGTTGCTGGTTCTTTGGGAGCTAAACGCAGAGTGTGAGCTGTGAAATGCAGCTTTCTTTCTTTCTTTCTTTCTATATTTGGGTTGTTTTAATTGTCCTCACGTCTATCCGGATCGGGTTCGACTGACTTTGGTTCCCTCTTTGAACGGGGGTTGGTTCTCAATAAGTATTCATGTTCAATATCCCCACAATAAATCACTTAAACAATCATTTTTATACCTGCTGAGGAAAATCTCATTAGTTGAAGGACGCAGTAAACAGCGATGTAAATGCATTAGATTTATAATAACATAGGATTAGTTCAGTCTCATTGCACAGCGCAACAATTCAAACAGGACTCTGGATACTTGTGCGGCCATAAAAACTGGTCTCCTGTGCAGGCGGCGAGGAGCTGATCAAGGCTGTGAGAGCATGAAATATGTCCAACATTAAGTGACACTGGGGACAGATAACAGCTTGCCCGATACTAATTAAGTGTTGAAAAACCTCTCCATTTTTCTGGCAAATGTGTTTTGGTTTTTGTCCCCCAAAATGATTGAGACACCTTTTTTCAAAAGACTCTGCAGATATAAAATGCACCAAAAACACCTCATTTTGTCTTATTAGCTTTTGTGATATTTCCGTTTCTGTCAAATGTAAATGCTTTTGATTCTCTCTCTATTTTCTGCCTCTTTAAACTGTTGTCCCTCTCTCGTCCTCCCTCTTTATGTTTCTCTCTTTTCTTTCTTTCCTCTGTCTTCTCTCTCTTTCTGTCTGCCAGGCCATGGCCTAGTTAAAGCGTCTTCTGCTTTGTGTGCCTTCTCTTTCATCAGCTCGGAAGTTTTTTTACATTCTCCCTCTTTATCTCCGATTCTCTTTTTTTATAAATCGCTTTTACCTGCGTTTGTCCTTCTTTTATTATCACCATTTCATCCCTCTCTTCCCGTATTTATTTATACCTGTTCTTCCCCCTTTTCTCTCTCTCTCTCTCTCTCTATCTCTCTCATTCTCTCTCTCTGTCTCTCTCTCTCTATCTCTCTCATTCTCTCTCTCTGTCTCTCTATCTCTGTCTCTCTCTCTTTCTCTCTCTCTGTCTGTCTCTCTATCTCTGTCTCTCTCTGTCTCTCTGTCTCTCTGTCTCTGTCTCGCTCTGTCTCTCTCTCTCTTCTGTTGTTAACCTCTCTCTCTCTCTTCCATTGTGTGGATGATAGCTGTCAGGAGATCTCATCACTGAGTCTCTCTTATTACATGATTACGGGGTAATTATCCTGTGAAGTTGTCTTTGCCCGAATCTATGAAAGACACTTAATGTCTTTTTAATGGGGTTTGGAGACTTTTCTTTGGAAGGGGGGCGGTCTTTTGTAGTTGCAGTGGACTCTTCAGTTTATTGCGTCCACATGTGTTTGGCCTGGAACGCCGTGTCCTGATTAAGTGGCACTTGGATTCAGCGTAATTTGCTGTGAGTTTGTCAGTGAGACTGTCTTATCTTATTTATTTTACTTCTGGCCGTTGGATTTGTCAGAAAACGCTGTCGTCTGCCAGCGTCTGATGAAGCTCCTGTGATATTTAGGACGAACACCGACACGGAGACCTGGCGTGGACTTCAGAGACGAGGGCGTGCGAGCAAAAACTTCACGTTGTGTAACAACCACAACAGCCCCAGATGGTTTATTTACGATAAACAATCACTTTATCAATATCTCATATGTGCTGTCCAGGCAGCAACCTTTAAACAGCTCTATAAGCAAATTATAATGCATTATAAGTATGTTTCTAATTAATTATAGACATTATAGAAAGTGTTAACAATAATAATTTTTAGGAAACAGTGTTGCATATACTGTTTTGTCAAACTTACTTCAAAATGTAACTTTTCAGGGGTTTTAAGTTTGCTGCTTCGTAACCAACTTCCTTTCTTTGGAGGAGCCTTTGATCCAAAGCTCATAATAGTACAAGACTGCTTATATTTTCAGTACAAGTGACCCAAGCAGGAATAAAAAATCTCTGTTGATGTTTCTGTGTTTTATCCTTGGTCTCGTGTTGATCTCACATCTTTTAAATAAATGGAACCAAAAGCGTAGTTTGCCTGTTTACAAAAGTGAAAATTATCTCCTTTTTTTTACACTTCTGTCTTTGCCCATCATGCATATTTCTCGTTCTTTGTCTTATTCTGGGTGAATGCAGCACATCACTTCACACACAAACAAATATCAACATGACTCCTCTCTATGTTTTTCCTAACATGTATTTTTCTCTGCTTTTAGTCTTTCCCCAAGTGGCTGCAGTGCAGCTCACTGAGCACAAACAATATTAACATGTAATTTTCTCTCTCTCTCTCTCTCTCTCTCTCTCCCTTTGTGTCTCTGCGCAGCTTGAGAGTCGCTGCCGTCTGTGATGCCCTCCCATGACGTCCAGGTCGGTAGCTGACACTGCCAGTGTGCGGGAGACGCCACTGCACAACTGGTCCTGGGCCGGCACCGTCAGCCGGTTATCGCCCTCCCTCTTGCAGGCTGGAGACTCCGCCCACCTACCAGTATCCACAACCATCAGCTCCGATCCATCTTCAGTAAGTCCCTTTCAGAAACCGACACGCTGACGTCCTCAGCCAGCACCAGCAGAAGCAGCAGCCAAAAACCGCAGTATCTTCAACGCGATCAGCAACACCAGCACCACCATTATCACCACCACCACCACCAGCAGCAACCATCATGTCCAGTCGTAGAAAGTCCTCCACCCCCTGCATGGTCCGGGTCGTCAGGGACCTGCCTGAAGAGCAGGACGACCCTGAGGAGGTAATGGACATGGAAATACCGGCGGACAACGACGCGACAGAAAAAGAACAATCAGAATCATCTGAATCTGCAGGAAAGAGTCAAGATCCCCAGCAGGATAATTCAGAGAATCCAGACCAGCAGACGTTTCAAAAACCAGTGGAGAACCACAATCCTGAGCCATCAGAACAAGAGGAGCAGTCGGGTGAGAAAGATCAACCTCCTGTCATTGAAGATGAGGAAGCCACAGAGGAGAAGGACAAGGAAGACGTTGACTCTGACCCGGTGTCCCGGAAAAAGCAGCCCAGAGGCTACGAGTGCAAATACTGCCCATTTTCAACGCAGAACCTGAATGAATTTAAAGAGCACGTGGACTCTAGCCACCCCAACGTCATTCTTAATCCGATGTACCTCTGCGCTGTCTGCAACTTCAACACCAAGAAGTTCGACTCGCTCACAGAGCACAACGAGAGCCAGCACCCGGGCGAGACAAACTTCAAGTTCAAGAGGATAAAAAGGAACAATCAGACTATCTTAGAGCAGACAATCGAAGGCAAGGACAATTCAGTTGAATGTGAAGTGACGAATGAACGGGGCGAAGGCAACTGCAGCTCTGTGTTTCCAGCTTGCATATCAACCACAGTGAAAACCCCGAACAATATCCAGACGCTCTATCAAGGGAGCGAATTAAAAAGCCAGCGGGACGGCCTGTTCCAGAATAATCAAATCACAGCGGTGAACATCAACGGAACGGTCATCATCCCTGAACCCACCATCCTCCAAGGGCTCTCCCACGTCGCCCCGATGCTCCAGCGCCCACCCAACTTCAACTCTGTACCAAAAATAGCTGTTCCCTTGAACACCACCAAATATAACCCTTCTTTAGACGACAACTTGACGTTGATCACCTCCTTTAACAAGTTTCCTTACCCGACGCACGCCGAGCTGTCGTGGCTGACGGCTGCCTCCAAGCACCCGGAGGACCAGATCAAAGTCTGGTTCACCACCCAGCGGCTTAAGCAAGGCATCACCTGGTCCCCGGAGGAGGTGGAGGAAGCCAGGAAGAAAATGTTCAACGGCTCCATCCCTCCTGCACATCACACGTTCACCGTCCTGCCTACAACTGCCTTCTCTCAGCCGTCTGCCAAATCCTCCCAGCAGACCTTTGTCCACACTACCGTCGGGCATGCAAGTCATGTGCGGACAACCGTGTCCAATGGGTTGAGTTTAGTCGCCGCCACAAACTCTCCCGCTGGAGTTGCAATTAGCTCCGGCCCGTCCCTTAAACGATCCATGCCGACGTACCTGACGACGGTGTTCGGCCCGGAGTCCAAACGGCCCATCATGGCAGTCGCTCCCCATTCCGGCGACGCTAAAGACAGGGGCCTCATGGCTCCTCCGCCCCCTCCTCCCCCAAAAGACCGCCTCCCAATGGCTCCGCCTCCTGTTCCCATGGAGATGAAGAGACCTGTAGCACTTCCTCTGGTCACCACAGAGATGAGGAGGCTATCCGCTGCTGTGCCTTTAATGCCGCCGCCATCGTCGTCGTCCTCGATGTCTTTGTTGTCCAAAGGGAAGATTCTCTCAACGTTAGGAAACCCCAAAACAAAATCGGTGGTGTCGCTGCCCCCCTTAGTCTTTCCAGAGTCTTTAACAAGACCAATGATAGTACCCCCGCCTATCTTTGCTCCGCCATTTAAAAACTCATTACTTTTTCCTCTTAACTCGCCCATCACTTCCAAAGAGAAGCACCCGAATATCCACGCTTTGCCAGCTGCTGATCTCAAGCTGCCAAACTCCCCACCACCTGTTGCCCCACAAATAAGGAGGCCAACCATTATCCAGTCCATTCGCGCTCCGGCCAAAGCCCCGACCCAGATTTCAGGGTTCCCTTTGGATAGCAGGAAACTAAAAGAGCAACAAGGGGTGGAGGTGAAAGCCTATTACCCCAGAGGAGATAAGGTACTCACTCCTCTGGCAGAGGCCAACGGGACATCTCGCATGGATGGCAAATGGTTCCACGATCAAACCGCACTTGCTCACAACAATGGGGTCCAACATTTTGACGGATTGCAAGCGGCGCTGAAACCGGACTTTCATCAGAAGTCCTCGGTGCTGACCCAGTTCCCTTTGCTGGAGAGGATGAAAGGAAAGACGGCGGAACAGCTGAAGATCTTGGAGGAGAACTTCCTGAGGAACAGCTTTCCCACACTCAGCGATGTGGACAATCTGGCGGGCACCACCCGGCTGTCTCGCCAGGAAATCCACAGCTGGTTTGTGGAGCGTCGTGCACTACGCGACAACCTGGAACAAGCCCTTCTCAACTCCATGGGCACTAAGAGGATGGGCGCTGGTGGCATTGCGGCCATCGCCAAGAAACGACTACATCAGCAGCAACAGCAACACCAAACTCTACAGCTGAATGGGATTCACAAGCCAAGCACTGGTGTGGGCCATCTCAAAAGCCCTCTTCCACCTTCTTCCACCCTGCCTATAATCGCCACCTCCGTCCCCAACCCGAATTCCTGCTCAGTGCCTCCAGACAGCCGATCCCTGGCGCTCCTCATGGACGATTTTGCTCAAACGCGGTGGCCTTCCCCTGAGGAGTTCAGCCAACTGGAGGGTCGGACGGGACGCGCCGAACTCGCCCGCTGGTTCAACGACAACCGGCTGCAGAGCGGCGGCCTGGAGCTGGCAGAACTTTTTCACAACAACGGAGTGAATGGAGGACAGGGGCCGCTTGTGTGCTCTCCCAAAAATGCTGCCCCCGGCATCCTCCAGCGCTGTCAGGAAGGAGCCCTGACAAACAACAACGGCAGTAAGGTGTTGGAGGTTGAGTTGGGCTGGCTAATGGAGCAGCGCGCCAACAGCCTGTGCAGTCAACAGCAGGATGAACTCCAAGACCGGTTGTCTGGCAGGTACTGTATTAACATAAATATTGAAAGTTGTGCACGTACATGTATTTTCTTTTACTGTTCAAACCGTCTTGCAGTGGCATTGGTGAGGGCGTTTGAGATTTGAGTGAGAAACAATCATCTTCCACTATAAGTTTTACTTTATCCATTAAGAAGACCGAAGAACAACTTCAACCCCCAATATTTCATCCACATATGTACACAGATTTTAGCTTTTAGATTTAATATTATTTAATTCAATAACAGAATAAATATATAAAATCCAAGTGGTGCATTGCAGATTTAAAGATGAATATTTTAAAATTAAATAAACCATGAATACAATTAAATTGTTTTAAATTTGAATTAATTTTCTTCAAAATGAACTGAGGTGGTCAAACCCATATTTTTCATTTTCATGGTCCTGGTAGTCTACCAGGTTACTGCTATATATCTTGTTCTTTTCAACGAGTCGTCAATTTCAGTTATAAATCCCCAAATTGCCTGAAAGCCTTTTATAATCTGAACAGGATACAGCCTCCTCCGTCCTTTGGTTCTTTACGCTCTGACACCTTCTGTGGAGAACAGCGAGACCAAAACAAATTTCCGCCTCCTTGTGTTGTTGTTGTTTTTCTAGTTGCCACATTAACATTGTTTTCAGGACATTAACCCACAAATAGACGAGACTCTATTCAGTCTTCCAGGGGCTTGGGAGATCTTTGGCTAAATAATGCAGCCATTACGTTGGAAACCAATATCTCCACAATAATTTGGGCAAGAGTTTTATTCTCCCCACGAGTCAGTTTTGGCTTTTGGAAAGCACCACAGTATGAAGCTGCACCGACAGCACATTGAAATCCTTCTGCTTCCTGTTGGTTTTTTAAACTCAGTGCTCAACACTGTGATGCACAGACAACTAACAATGAACGAGACAACACGAGTCATTGTTGCTGCTTATTGACAGTAAATGCAGTGAAAATATACTGAAAGCTGAAGAAGAAAAGGCTCTGTTCACCTCTCATATTAGTTAAAAGTAGAGCTGATAATCAATTCATCTTTAAAGTATATTAATGCGAAAATGGAAGAAAATTCAGTTTTCAGCCTCTCAAATAGAGATTTTTGGCATTTTTTCATATATTTTTCCTGCATATCACATTAAAGTGAATAACTTTGTGTATGGGACCAAACCAGACATTGTTCTCTATTTTCTGACATTTTATGGACCAACCGATTTATCGAATAATCTCTAAAATAATCTGCAGATTAATTGATAATGAGAATAATTATTATTTGCTGGCGAGTTATTAAGGGAGATCTTCTTATTTCACAAAGTAAAACTTTAATTATTTGTTGCCTAAATTGAAACCCGGGACGTTTGAGTCACTATTTGTGACTCAGTCCCAGACATGAAGACCTCCTTCAGAATTTAATTATTTTTGATTATTAATTTCTCCTCATTATAATTAAAAAATGATGTCCCACTTCTGACCCACTTGTGTTTAATCTGATTGAGGAACTCAGTCGTCTGAATATCGAATAATTGATTGACAGTCCTGTGATTCTGAAAAACAAATATTGTCAAAAAAACAAGTTTATTTGACAGATTTTTTTTCTTTCTTTCTATCTTAAAAATAACTCAGTGGCAGATATTTAATATCTCAACTTCACTGTTTGTCTCGTGTTGGACAGAAAGACGATTCTTAACCAATAGATTGATGTCAAAAGTGATGAAATATATTTAATAAATGTAAATGTTCCGTATTGATTTCATCTCCTGACAGAATATGTCTTTTAATTTAGAATATCTAAATTTGTTTAACACAGAGAATTCCCTTTAATATTTACATGAAGACAAAAGTTTTATACGACGTTGGTGTTTAAATACGACTTTAAAAAATAACTAATCGTTCAGAAGTAAGATCAGCAAAACTCTAACATGCATTAAAATTAAATATATATAAGAGCTGTGAAAACAGCATTTTTCATCAAAAAGAAGAACATCGTCGACAAAATATTAAAGCCAAGTATGTATATATGTGTGTGTATACATATATATACACACACACACACACACAC